ACGTGCAAAAGCTATAATGATCTACTAAACATGAAATGATAAGCACGAGACCAATAAGCCAACTCCCCCTCTTTTTCTTCCTTTTTTTTTAATGAGCCACTTTTTCCAAATGAGAGCCGTTAGGACGATTATTACCTAGGTTTAACCTCGGGGGTTATTCCCCAGTTGCCTAGGCCGGTTTCCCGTACTCGTTGAACCGATCTCTCTAGAAGATTAACCGAGCCAAGAGGAGCCTAATCCCTTCGACTCCCACGAACTCATTTCGTGAGCTTCTTTTTCCAAACGAGATTTCCGGACGAGATGATCTAGGTTTAATCTCGAGGGGTCTCCTCGAGTTTCCTAAACCGGTTTCCCGGGCTCATTATCCCAATCCACGAATGGCTCGGAATAAGAGGAGCCTAATCTGTACTTCTTCGCGAACTCACTTGTTATTCTCTTTTTTTTTTTCTTTTTCTTTTTTTTTTAGGGAGAGGCACACAAGGATACATCACAATTACAATACATAATCATCTCAACTCGATCGAAATGTACCACAAGTGTATAGAGAACACGTTTACAACGATAATCGAACATAAGGTAAGCATGCCTCAAGACAACCAATCGAGAACAAACAAAGGACAAAACAATTCCGTTAATCCACATGCGAGTTCCAATATCAACGAATCATCAATCAATTAAAGGAAACCGTCAAATTCATCAAGTACATCAAGCATGAACGCTAATAGTGAAACCAATCAATAATCTCGACTCACCACTTGGCTATCTCGACTCTCGAACAAACATCAAGTTTCATGCGGGAGAGATGACACGAACACACAAAAACTCAAATAAAACCGGTCCACGACACGACAAAAATGAAAAATAAGGCACAAAAACGAAAAGAAAATACGCCTAAAGCATGCATAATCACGCAAACCCCTCCCCCACACTTAAAACAAAGCAATGACCCCATTGCTTGACCAACAAAAGCATATGAAAGAGCACGTAATCACATAAGCTCATGCGAGAAAATAAAAATAAAAACAAAACAAACCAAACAAACGAGAAAAAGAAAAGAAACAAATAACACAAAAAAATAAAGAGAAAAATAAAATAATGAAGGGAAAAGAAAGCGCGTACTCTACACGGTGGTGCACCACCGTGTGTCTAATGGTGTTCTTCCGGTGGGAATAGAGCAAATCATCCGAAAGCCATCGAGGTCAAAATGAAGTCATCCGACCGATTGAATAATGAAAGCACATCGATCCATAAGCCAACCGAACACTATAACATTTTAAAGCATAAGAAAATCTCGTCCGTTGGCTCCGAGTAATGGCCACATGTATGCGTCTCGGAGAGATAATAACCGGAAATTCACAAACTCGACGTAGACGCACGTATGCGTGAAAGATCAAAATTCGGGCCTCTAGCCCCTCTTGAATCAATATAAAGCCAACAACTCACCCGCACACCCAATAAAATAAGAATATTTCAAAACCACACGCCACTAGCATCACATGCCTCAAATAATCAACAAAATCTCCCAACGAACCTCAACACCGAAAGACAATCACCAAAATCCTCCAAATTATCAATATAAGCTCTCGAAACCCCCGATACACCTCCCCACTCACTTAGCATATATCACCCACAACTCAATAAAATCACGCCCAATTCAAATACAAAT